GATGGCAACTGGTTTACATGCCTTCTGCAGGAGCCTCTCTCTCTTTTCTCTGACTCTGCAGCACATCAAGAGCAGTGACCCGCAATCCCTGGCTTGAGATTCCCAGAGGAAATCCCACCAACTACTTCTAAAGGGCCTGTGAAAAGTAAATGGAAAAACAGGTCTACCATCTGCAGGCTTAAATCTACTGCTGTGGGATCCACATTGCCACTGGGCCTTTTTTACAGGGAGTTTACAGATCCAGAACAAAAGGTTGGGAAATACTGATACAAAGATGGGCTTCTTTAGGCCAAACCTTTGGGATTCCCTCCTCTGCCCTACAAAGTTACATGGACCCGACGGATCAGGGGTCACAGGCATTTCGCAAAATCTGTCTGCCTTTTGGGAGTTACCTGGATATTCTCCAAATGTGTGTGCACAGGGGTAGGGGCTGAGCAGGAGAGATGGGGTACAGAAACTGTGGTTTGATTTGGGGGTAAAGGCCACGAAAGTTTTTCCATGCATGTAAAAATCTTTCGACACTAACTGCCTGTTGACTGTGGGCCAAAACAGACAGCTCAAGCTCACGCAAATGGCTAAAATGTTAATAAATTAAAAGGGACCCACCAGTGCGTTAATAATACTGGTTCGAGCTGAACATAACAAAGGCAGACATAGTTCTGTGCAACCTCGCTGAAGAATTTCAATCACAAATTGAAATGCCTCCTACTAACCAAAGTCCAGAGACTTCCCTGATCAGAGAACCACAGAATGGTTTAGGCTGGAAGGGACCTTGAAGATCATCTTGTTCCCCCCAGCCCAGGTTGCTCCAAGCCCCGTCCAACCTGGCCTTGAACACCTCCAGGGATGGGGCAGCCACAGCTTCTCGGGGCAACCTGCCCCAGGGGATCACCATCCGCACAGGGAAAATTTTTTTCCTAATATCTTGTCTAAATCTCCCCTCTTCCAGTTTGAAGCCATTCCCCCTCGTCCTATCACTACATGCCCTTGTAAAAAGTCCCTCCCCAGCTCTCCTGGAGCCCCTTTAGGTAATGGAAAGGGGTCTAAGGTCTCCCCAGAGCCTTCTCTTCTCCAGGCTGAACGCCCCCAACTCTCCCAGCCTGTCCTCCCAGCAGAGGGGCTCCAGCCCTAACAGCATCTTCATGGTCTCCTCTGGACCCCTCCAGCAGGTCCGTGTCTTTCCTATGTTGGGGGCTCCAGAGCTGGAGGCAGCACTGCAGGTGGGGTCTCACCAGAGCAGAGCAGAGAGGAAGAAGCACCTCCCTTGACCTGCTGGCCACAATACCAACTATATCTGCAGATATAAATAAAATCACCAAATTGCCATTTGCTTGCTACCAGAGGTCCTGATTCAGTAACCTTCACATGTACACTGTACACCCTTGCACAGCCTTTACCTTAATAAACAAATAGCTCAACTCTATTTACAGGAGGTCAAATAACTTTTTCCTTACATGTATTTGAAGAACGAAAAAAAAAAAACAAACCAGCCAGCATAGGACACAGCTCCTGCAAAAAAACCCCAAAGCCACAAACTACCACCAAACAAATACAAAGCTAAACAGGAAAAAAGAAAAAAAAGAAAAAAAAAAAGAAAAGATCATTAAGATCTACTGTACCTTTTAGGGGTTTTGGTCTCTTTCTTGCAGACAACTCAGGGTCTGTCTTCTCCATCAACCAGCCTAGATAGCTCTGGAATTCTTTGCTTCAGTTAGATCCCTTAATAATTTAAGATGTTAGTCACCCCCTGTATGAGACACAGTCACCTCTGAACCACCTTTCTTTACCTATTTCTTGTTCCCTGTATTTCAGATTACACTTTAGACCAATACTATGCTATTAATAAACAGTGGTCCATCACCCCTGAAGGATGTCTGAATGGGGATAAGTTTATCTTCATTATGATCATTCAAATACTGTCAATATCCTATTTTTCCAGCCTAAAATTCAGTCATTGAGGAATTCACCTGTTCTACTGTACATTATCTCTTTCCATCCACAGCAGGGGATGCTTAGGTTGGAAGGCTCGCCCTGACTGTTAATCCTTCCAGGAGCGAGAAAGCCTCCTTTATCTCATCTCGTAATTTCTCTCTTTCCCAGCAAAAACAAACCCATCACCCATAATCTTGCTTCAAACACACTGCCTATTTTGCTATAGGCTGTTCTCTACGGTTTAAACAACCTCAAGGTAATAAGGTTATTTAAAGTGAGCGTCTCTTTCCACACCATTCCCTTCATCATTAATTCACATTCAGCATATATGCGCTGTGCAGTAACGAACAGCATAACGATCCCTGAGCCAACCCAGGCTGGAGCTGGGTCAGTCCCCTGAACGCAACGTAACTGCATGACGATACAACAGCTTGGCAACACAATCTGCAGTGTCTGCTGAGCATCCTTCCACACGGATTGTAGGCTGGGCATTAGAAGAAGGTTGACACACACGGCTGAGTTGCCACATAATAAGCTGTGACTAATAGTCAGGCTGCGGTAACCAACATTTGCAGCATTAAATTTGCTCCTTGCAAATACAAGGTGAAATTTACCCTAAATATCTTTCCCTGCAGTTTATGCTAACGTCACTTTGCATTTGCAGAGGGCTAAAAGCACGTGGCGGGTTGCTGTGGGTCAGCTGAGACACGCACCTGATCCTTTAGCAGCATTTTTCATACCATAAACCACCTTCAAACCTACCTCAAGACCTTAAACAACTCCACTGCAAGTGCTACTATGCTCTGCTCATCCAACACCTCCTTCTCTCCTTGCACACCGCCCCCTATGGGCTTACTTCTGGCTTTTTAATCCACTTTCCTTTATGCTACTGTTAAGCCTTGAATTACCTCCTACACATCACATCTCAGTCATACTGCCATTTCTTCTGCCTCTCTATTCCTTTTATCCCGGCTGTCACCCTCAATGCTTGCACTGGGCTTCCAGTAATTCACAGGGGGGACCTATCGCTATGCTAGTTTCCATGTAAAATTAACAGAACGCTAAATACTAATTAATATCTCCACAGTATCCACAGGGAGTGATTCCCTCTGGCTTTCTGCTGCTAGCAGTCACCAACACTCGGCTGACTTGTAGTTTCTTCCTACCTGGACAGTTGTTGAAAAATCCCACTCTGAGTTCAGGATTCCCTCTTCTCTCTTCTTTGCTAACGGCTCCCAGCTCCTGACCTACACTGCTACAGCACGCCACCTGTAATCAGAGCACTAGCATTATGCCTTCCTTCTCATTTTTATCTTGTAATTTTGCTTTGCCTTCTATTTTTTCTGTGGAACAGTTTGTGTTGCTTAACAGGAAAAGAAAAAAAATAAAATAAAAATGAGTAGTTTGTTTCATGAGATGCCAGACAGCCGTCCACCTACAGACCCAACAGCAACTAAAGGCGATTGCATTATTTCTTGCAGACAACAGAAAGGACCAACTAGAAACCCAGTAGAGGCATCCATTGGGGGGAGGGGGGGTTCTCCCTAATACTTTATGGCACACGCTGGCTACATCAGGGACAATGTGGTTCAAGCTCATTTAAGACCTTCACGATATTGAAGCCAAGAATCCAAAGCTCCTCAGAAAGAATATGAGCGAGGTGGTCCAGCATCCTATCCAAGCCCCTCCTGTGCTTAGCAGGAAGAGGATTATTGCTGTTCCAAACATCCTTCCTTAGACTGTTGCGGGCAGAGATAACTATTGGGTTAGATACTGGTGCGTTTGAGTCGAGAGTTGCTTTTATCAGATTTCATTTTTACCCTTCATTGTCAAGGCAAAGGTATGACTATTGCAAAATGAATGACCATGAAGCAGAGGTGCCTTTTGAATTTACATACAGAATTAGCAAAATGTTTTGAACTTCTGGCATGCTCTGTGACAGAGCTCCCAGCAGTCTCCGAGTATTGACCTGAGGGTGGAAAACTACAGGGTGGTGAGAAAGTAGAGTTTCCTTAAACTCTTACCTTCCATCTATCTTTTAGGCAAGTCTGTATTTGAAGAAACCTACATCTCCCGGAATCTAATTTACATACAGAGCAACCTCGTATCCCCGCACCCTCAAAGATGAATAAATGGCTAAACTGAAATACTGAATATTGTAAGGCCTTGTTCATTCAATTATTTTTTTTCTCTAAGATTACCCTGCAGACCTTAATGATTAACTACTTAAACGTACTCTTTCAGAAAAGCAATTTCTTAGCTGCTAAAAAAATGAGAGTGAGATCCAGAGCCATTGCAAAACACATCTGGTGTTTGTCTCAAAGAAGGAGAGTTGCACAGGCATTTTTGCAGAACAAAACAAAAGCTGTTTTGCTTAAGAAGGAAAGTTTCTGTGCTGGTCTAACACTTTTCTTAACACATGTCAGAATAGGTTTCTGTGTGTGCACATCACCTTTCCTACAGCCTGGATGGGTTACCATTTTGAAGCTCGTAGGGTCTGGAAATCTGAATAAATCACTCAACTACATCTGACTGTACAACAGTTTGGAAATAGTGAGGAAATCTTGACCAAACCCAATTTTAACATTACCTTCAGATTTTAAGC